TTTTTTTTTTTTTTTTTTTTTTTTTTTTTTTTTTTTTTTTTTTTTTTTTTTTTTTTTTTTTTTTTTTTTTTTTTTGCATGAATAGCTCTTTTTTTCTTTTTTTATTATTTAAAAAATAAGGTATTTTTTTAAATATTAATAACAAGAGTTAGCCAAACTATATAAAATGAAGGGAAAAAAAAAAGGTAAAGCTTATTGGGACTGTATAAATATGCACATCAATCACGCTTAGAAGCACCATTTCACTTAGATGCAAAATATACAAAACTTAGGAGCACCATTTCCACCTACCTAACATCAACAATTCTTCCTAAAATCTAAATTTACACCCACATTGTGCAACCAACCAAAGGCAGGATGGATGAAGATATCATTGCAATGAAGATTTCTCATGCAAAAACAAGTATCGAAAGCGAGAATCGAAAGGAAGAATACCACAGTTTCGAGACCCGATTAGGCTTTGTCGCCTCTGAGATATGCAACCCTGAACAAACGCAGCTTGATGGGGCGGAAGGTAGTGAGATATCCACACTGCTAAATTTGCATCGTCAACCGAGTTTTTGGCGAAACAATATAGCAGTTTCGGTACCAATAATCTCCCTTTGTTGCTAACACCTACCGAAGCTCGAATGAAATCGCGTTGTGCCTCTACAAGATCCTCTTGAATGTTGTTTGCATTGTAGATCCTCACCTATATGTAGAAAAATGTTAATATGTCGGTCCACTATCTTACACGTGAGTTTTCTGGTCTAGAATTACCGCGGGAGATGAGTACGTTCCACAGCTTAGAGCGAATGTTAAAAGTGGTTCGTGTTTGTCTATTGCAAATCTTCGCTGCTCCTCCGTCACCTTTGACTTATGAAGAGCAAGAAGCAAAGCCTGGTTATGATATAGGGTAATGAGGCAATGAAGTGTGACAAGAGAATAACCAAGAAAATGTGAGAACATTTTATATCAAGTGCATACAATTTGTGGCCTGTGAACTGGTGGTTTCATCTTGAGGATACCATATTCAATTCCTGTTGCACTGAAAGAATGCCCACCAACTGTGTATGCTGCCTGTAAGAATACATTTCAAATGATATACATCATTAACACCCAAAAAGAAAGAACCTGGAGATGAAACTACACATTTTGACTGAACCGGTGCATTGCTTGCTTTCAAAGTGATATCAAGAATGATACATGAACACAAAGACTTTGAATTACGTCTTATCTTATGCAGCCAAGAAGGGTCTCACTCTTTCCATTACACTCATGCATCTCAAGTCTTATCACCAAAGCCACCTATTTTGTTTCCCTCTCCAATCGATGTGAGATCTCACAATCCCCCCTCTTGGGGGGCCCAGCGTCCTTGCTGGCACACTACTCAGTGTCTGGCTCTGATACCATTTGTAACAGCTCAAGCCCATTGCTAGCAAATATTGTTTGCTTTGGCTCGTTACATATCGTCATTAGCCTCACGGTTTTAAAACGCGTCTACTAGGGAGAGGTTTTCACACTTTTATAAGGAATGTTTCGTTACCCTCTCCAACTGATGTGGGATCTCATAGATGACTACTTGTGGAGGAAAGTAACTATAGGGTAAACCTGAAAACGACCTAACTATATAGTTTTCAACTTATAAGTTCAAAGTATGTTCAGTTCAGCAGATTAAGGCAACTTGTATGCGCTAAAAGGAGAATCAAACTAATAGAACAAACCAGAGAGAATGTATCTAAATCAATTCAAATCAATGACACGAACAAACTCTAAGTCTCCAGATTGCACTGAACCACATGAGAACAAAGCTAGCCCGTTCGGCTAAATATTGCCTAAAAACATTGAATTATTTTATATGAATCTACCTAATGTATCAAATCTCATTAATAAAATAAAAAGCCATTTGCATGCTTATGAAGTATGCCTAACCAACCATCTCATGTGAGACTCATGGCCTCTCTGCCAATGCACAGCCTTCTACACACTATGCTAATGCTTTGGCTCCACTGCTAACATGTTTTTTTTTTTTTTGGTTTTATTTATTATTAGTATTGTTTTGTTTGGCAACATTGGTGTTTTGTTAGTTTAAATGCGTCTCGACTAATTTCGTATGACAGCCATTTCGCCGAGCAATTGCTAGCTTCGAAAACGTTAGCTGCACTGTGATGCTCCTTACGTGGTCAGCTAACCTTGTTTCAATGTATATCCGGAAACCATCCTCATGCACACACTAGCATAGCATGGGGATGGAAGCTCATGACTGCTATATTTATAACTAAACACAGAAGAAATATGAGGCTCTAAAATATGAATCCACGAACAAGGAAAAAGAAAGGAACAAAATAGTGCCTTAAAATTCAAACCTTTTGCATCAAAGAGAAAAGTTTCAGTTCACTTTTTGGAACTCCATAAGCCAGGTAAGCCTGTAAAAAATAAGACAAGATATGAACAACCAACTTAGCATCTGTTTGTGTAACAGCCCAAGCCCACCTCTAGCAGATATTGTCCTATTTAGGCTTTTCCTCAATGTTTTTTAAAACGCATCTGCTAGGGAGAGATTTCCACACCCTTATAAAGAATGCTTTGATCCCCACATCTCACAATCCCACCCTCTTTCAGGCCCCAGCGTCCTCGCTCGCACCGATTCCCCTCTCCAATCGATGTGGGATCTCACGAGTAACAACGAGGACACTAGACTTCGAAGAAGGGTGGATTGTGAGATCCCACATCGATTGGAGAGGGGAATGAAACATTCTTTATAAGTGTATGAAAACCTATCTCTAGTACACGCATTTTAAAAACCTTGAAGGGAAGCTCAAAAAGGAAAGCCCAAATATCTGCTAGCAGTGGGCTTGTTTCTCCATATTTTACAAATATGCTCTCACAGTTGACCGTGAACGTATTAAACCGAATTCAACAAGGAGAAGCGACTTACATGCATGATCAGTGCATTATATAAATTAATCCAGAACGCTAGTCTTTCGTCTCTGTTTAAGTGAATGGGGTTCACTTTTGCAAGCTGCTCAACAAGAGTGCTGTTCACAAAACAGATACATTAAGGCAAAAACAGGTCAAAACTAGATTGCAGTAAGATAATATGGTCTATGAACACTACCGGAACTTCCTCAATTCACCAGCAGCATATTCTAATTGCTTCTTCCCGACCGACATCCAAGAAACTTCAGCTGCCTGTGAATAATTCCCAACGTCAGCCCAGCTTAATTTTCCACGTACACTGTATGGATCACAAGCATTCTGTGTGGCTAATACTTCAGAGCTACTAGGAATATCAATTTGTGGACTTTGTACTCTTGATGAAATAATCGACCGTTCAGATGATGACCACCACGACGAATTGGAGAGATGTCCTCGGGGTGACGCAGGTGAGTGGTTTTCTATTGTCGATGTTTTGGATGGCACAGCTGAATCTGCTAGTGAGATGAATATGTTCTTCATACATCTGACCATTTCTTCTGATAAAATATTAGGGTGATGCCAGAGGCCACTTGCTAGTGGCCCTCGAGACATTTTGTCACATTCTATTGGTCGGGAACGTTCATTGACCTCTGTCACCGACGTCGTCTCAGGATGTGTTTCAACTAGGCCAACTGCACTCTGATTCAGCATAAACAAAGCTACAGCGTTAACTAAATGCATTGAAGAACTCAGCAGAAAAACGAAGTTTAGGTAAAGAAAAGATATATATTTACATCAAAAGAAAAGAACATTGTGGTGAGATACCGATTTTTTCTTGGTGTCAGAATTGGAGCAACGAGAAGTTGAACAAGGTGATGAATGCATTAGACGATATTCTGCAAGCTTTCTTTCATTCTTTTCTTGACTAAGTTGGAAATGTAAAGAGACTATTTCTTGCTCGAGTCGTACAACTGCATCTTCCAACACTGCAATGCTAGATAAAAGATCTTGGGCCTGCACAAATTTCAACACAAGAATATTGCACAATGATTTAAAATTAGAAAACATAATACAAATAAAGGAAATTTTGAGCAATTAAGATACGAGAGGTTTGACAGTCCAAGTCCACTGCTAGTAGATGTTATCCTCTTTGGGCTTTCAAAATGCGTCTACTAGGGAGAGGTTTCCACACCCTTATAAGTAATGCTTTGTTCCCTTCTCCAACCGATGTGGGACCCCCTACCCAATCCACCCCTTTGGAATCCAACATCCTTGCTGGCACATTGCCCGGTGTCTGACTCTTATACCATTTGTAACCACCCAAGCCCACCACTAACAGATATTGTCCTTTTTGGGCTTTCCCTTCTAGGCTTCCCGCAAGGTTTTTAAAATGTGTCTACTAGGGAGAAGTTTTCATAGCCTTATAAGGAATGCTCCGTTCCCCTCTCCAATTAATGTGGGATCTCACAATCGACCTCCTTTGGCACACCGCCCGATGTCTGGCTCTGATACCAATTGTAACTGCCCAAGCCCAACACTAACATATATTGTCCACTTTGGTCCATTACGCATCGCCGTCAACCTCAAGATTTTAAAACACATCTGCTCGAGAGAGGTTTCTACACCCTTATAGGGAATGTTTAGTTCCCCTCTCCAACCGTTGTGAGATCTCACAATC